GGCTCTGTAGATCAGCAAGACTCTTCTTAAATCATTTATTTTTCATCCATTTTACAGGGTGTTTGGGGCCTAGGAGGCAGAGCTTTATTTAATATATCTCAATAATTTATAGCCAACAATACACTGAGGGAAATGTCAACCTCATAAAAACTGAAATTCAAGTGAGAAATGCTGAAATTTTCCTCAGAGAAGGAAAAAGTTATGAAAATAAGGCAAGCCAAGGAAGTATATTAAAACATTTCAAAACATAAAAAATGTGTTTAATGCATCAGCAATTTTTAGACATGTCCCTCTGGGTTGATCCACATCTATCACAAACAGGGCAGCCTGGGACTGCATCATGCCTAGGTCTGTCACTCTTCAGACAGGTCAGCACCGAGTGTAGCTGATGATACAGCAGTCACTTCAAGGTAGACCTTTGTCTCAAGGCTTTCTTATATCCTCCCCTAAAAGTCCATCCACCCCTTTTATCAATGTTATGTTTCCCCTGTGAGTAGTTCTCTGCTCCCTCTGACTCAGGGTTAATCACAACAGTTATGTAGAAAGTCCCCAACGCTACTTCAAGAGATATCACAAATGAGGGAAAAGAAAAAAAAAATCTGACTTTCTATCAAAACATAAAGCTCTTAGCAATTGCATGCAAAGATTTGGGAACCAGGCCCACCTGGCCTCCAAAGAACTCAAGAGGTCAAATTCTCCACAGAATCAGGGAATAAGGAGAGGATTTTCCGGCTAACTTTTAAACTTCTACGTAATTTCTGAGGCATAGCTATTACCTACCATTAGATTTTCAGGGTTTACCCAATGAAATTCAATAGCACTCTGAAGAATCAACTGGAAAAGTACCCTTCCTCAAGGGCAAGCAGATTGTGAAGGGTACAGCTAATGCCACAGGTTAAGGTTTAAAATGCTGAGGCTAAGATTTTAACATCATGCCCACAAACCCACCAGCCCTGCCACCTCATCCTCTGTCGTCCCTTCTCCTCTTGCCCTCAATCTTTCCCAGCATCAGGGTCTTTTCAGATGAGTCAGTTCTTCGCATCAGGTGGCCAAAGTATTGGAGTTTCAGCTTCAGCATCAGTTCTTCCAATGAATATTCAGCACTGATTTCCTTTAGGATGGAATGGTTGTATCTTTAGACCTAATCATACCATCTGTAGAAATTTGTCCTAAGAATATAAAATGGGTGTAGAAATAAACCTACAAGGATGTTCATTGCAATACTGTTGATAGGTGAAAAAAAAGAAACTAATAATGCTCAATGATAAGAACTGTTCAAATAAATCAGGCAATTAAATATTCTACAGGTATCTTTGACATTTAAAAAAATACAGTGGAAAATAACAAGTATAAATGATATTACAATGAGCAAAGTAAGTTTATACTATAATATCAAAAACCATAGTTTGTAAAATATATACATATTACATAGAAAAAAGATCCAAAAGATGGGTACCAAAATGCTAGTACTTATTTTTAGGTGGTAGTTTAATGGGTAATTTTAATCTTCCTCTTTTGTCTGAGTTTGTAAATTTTCAATAATAAACACATATTACTTTTTTAAATTAAAAAAACATTTTGGTTAAAGTCCAAATTAGAAGAGAACTGAAAATAATATAGCTCAAACTTTTATTTCTACACATAGTGATGCTCCAGCTTAGGAAAGTATACTGGGTAAAAAGAAACTCTACCACAGAAAAAGGAAATGGATTTCTTAAATCACTATTCATATTAGGGTTGCCTTGAAATTAAATGCGTAATTAAATGAACTACAAACTAATCAAAATAATCTCTGACTTATTATGTAACTAGAGCCCTCCCAAGGGCATAGCTCTTCAGCTTTTCTGGGTCACTAAGATCACCTTGGAAACACCTGATTAATGTCATCAGTAAAGCTGGCAGAAAAAGCACACAAGTGCTAATAAACAGAAGTTCTGAAACCTAGTTGAGGAATTCACAGAGACCCAAAACAGTCCATGGATTCTGTACAGCAGTGCTGTATGTTCCAAAATGAAATCATATGATGTGGAACAGAAAACGACAGAATACAGAATATAAGGGAATAGTATGAAACAGGGCACGCATCTATGATGGGTCAGCAACACTGTGTGAAATTTGGGGCTCACAAAATGTTAAAAATTAATTATTTTTAACATCTGGATAAATCTAAAGAATATGCAGAGATGTAACTTATTCTTTTATGTGTCTGTAGATTCTAGATTTTGACATAAAGTTTATCACCATGGGACAGGGTTAAACAATATGAATGTGACTATCCTAGAAGCCCATTACTCCAGGTTAAAAATATATATATATCCTGCACTAGAGAAGGGAAAATAGCCTCAGGTGATTTAACCAAGCATCTACTACACCTTTTAAAGGAAATAAGGGAAAAGAGTAGAATTTCTTAAACCTCCTATACAAATTATCTATTACTGCTTGGAAAAAATAGGATTTAAAAATTTGGGTCAGGGCCTGAGCAAGTAGTTTTGGATTTTTTCTAGTCTACATTCTGTAAGTACTTACAAGCTTTATTTCTAATTATGATTTATTTACTACCACTGAATAAGGACAACATTCATTCATTTACTAATTTGATATCTACAAAAATAAATCATACCCAGTCACACACAAACTCTCTCTCTCATTCATTCTCTGTCTCCTTCATTCATCTGCCCTTGCCTTTTCCCCAGAACATAGCAACAGCTGGAAATGGGGAAACGCTATAGAATTGATTGCATCTGAGACAGCCATAGCAGCCACAGGGAGACAAATGTCTGTTTCAGACTGTCTCTGGCTCATGCCAAATGCCTGAATCCAATGGATCTTCCATCAGAATGGTGGATTTGTGTCCCATTAAGAAACTGATTCGATCAAGTTTTCTCTCACCCCTGTTTCAGCACAAGCCACTGGACAGCTCTCAAGCACCCCCTGTCAATAGGACAGACAGCCCCTTAGTTTTACAGGAAGCTCTCGTAACTGTTTTAGCTCTCGCTCAGGGGAGTGTAGACAGAGGAGGAAACTGGTGTCAGGTGGGGTGCTCTGTGTTAGAACCCCCATTTCTCCACTCTGTAATTTGGAGCTTTGACATGCAGGCCTACACCATCTGGGGCAGAGCAGCCCATGGAAACCAAACCTCCTTCAGCACTCTCAGCTCTTCTGTTCCCTTCCCTAGATGCTCCCCATAGAGTATTCACAAAAAAAGGGACACTGCCCTGTGTGAAAGTGTGGAAACAGACGGAGAATCTTAGGCATCACCAGGAGATATAATTATTATTAACTCATTACACGTGGAAAACACTCTTTCAGGTTCTGAAGTCATATTACATAGGCTACAACTGGTCCTGACCCAAGAGTTTTGAAGGCATTTCCAAATGAAGGAAAGGAATTTACAGGGAAGAAATTATCTAAGGTCAGTAAGAATCAGGCCCAGGATGAGTCACAAATTAGGGTGAAGCCTATGGAGCTGATCATGAGAACTTTTTGTTTTTTAATTGAGGCAAAATTCACATAATGCAAAATTAACCATTTAAAAGTGTACAGTTCAGCAGTATAATATTGTACGATCACCATCTACATCAAGTTCTTAAACATCAGTGTCACCCCAAAGAGAAAACCCTGTACTCAGCAATCAGAAACTCCCTGATAGCAGGATCTTGGGCTCAAAAGCAGATCGCCTGACACTGTCAGGTCTGTTTTGTTGTTGTTGTTTGGTCGCTAAGTTGTATCCAACTCTTTAGCGACCCCATGGACCCACCAGGCTCGTCTGTCCATGGAATTTTCCAGGCAAGCATACTGGAATGGGTTGCCATCTTCTTCTCCAGGGGGTCTTCCCAATCCAAGGATTGAGCCTGTGTCTTCTGCATTGGGAGGTGGACTCCTCACCACTGAGCCATCAGGGAAACCCCTGAGTTCTGTTTACAAAAGATCTAAGTTGAGTATAATGTCAGGACAGGAACTTTGCTTATCTTCTTCAGCACTGTATCCTCAGCATTGCTGAAGGGATGCTGAATGGTTGGGAACCAAACCGAGGAGCAAAGGACTTGATTTGTCTCTAAGCCAGTGAAGTATCAATCCCTTTCTGCCCACCTCCCAGACACTGAACCAGCTTGGGCCATCAGTGCTGGAATCTAGAGATCTGAAGGGGGCTGACACAAATAAGAGTTAAGAAGGACCAAATCTGACGACATGAGACTTAGCAAGTACTTCCTGAGTGTCAGAAGTTTTACTTCAACCCCTTTACTCTCCATGGGGACACCTAAAACTTCCAGAAGCATTTGTGTGAGGTCACTCAGTAGGAGAGAGGCAGAGCTGGGGCAGTACAGCCCAAAGCACTTGCCTTCTAACAAGAGACCATGGCCATCTTACAGATGAAAAAACTAAGGCTAGAGCAAAAGCAGCAGGATCCCAGAGAATCAAAGGCACTACCGGTTTCAGGGCACCTCGACATCAAGATGGGCGAGAAAGCTGCCAGCCAGACGGGTGAGTTTACATCCAAGTTCAAAAGGGAGAGTCCTCACTCTTCAGTGATGCAATCAGAGGCAAGATCGCATGTCCTGGTGATACTCAAGTTTGCACAGGGCATAAGGTGGGACCAAAGGTATGACTAGAAGGCAAACCTAACCTATAAAGTGATGCACAAAACCCATTTATGTAACGTTGTAAAGTAGAAGTTTAAGATCACTTTCTACGCACCTAAATACCCAGTTTTGAAAGCTTTCAAGATTTCTGCTAGAAAGAATATTCTTGGAGCGGATGGCAATGTCAGTCCCACAAATGGTCTTTCTCCCTCTCCTCAACTTTCTATTTTTTTTGTTTATGCTTCATGCATTATATTGGACTTTTTTTTTAAGATGTAAATTTTAATACATTATTTCTTTTTTGAACTTGAACAGGAACCAGAATGGGATGATCCAGAAGGTGACCTGTGGTGCCTGGGTAAAGCAGTGGTGTTCCGAGGGGCTGGCCCTGGGCTCGGGGTTGTTTAGTGTTTTCACCAATCACCCGGCTTTCAGGTGACCATGATCCTGTTGGTCTTTTTTTGTGATCACCAGATGAAGAAGATGTAGAACAACTTCTCTTTCTGTTCCTCTCAGGAGATGATGATGAACTTGAGTAAGATCTTTTTTCGGGGGGAAGAAGAACCCCTGTGGGACCTGGAGCTGGATCTTGATTTCGACCTACGAGATCTCGAACGTTCTCTGGAACTGGAACGAGAACTTGAACGGGAAGGGGAGGGTGAGCGTGATGAAGATCATGAAAGTGCAGACCGAGACTTTGACTGACTTCGTCTGTTAGATTTCTCTTTATTACTATCTTCTTCTTCACTGGCATCAAGATTATATTTTGAGAGATCAGCATCATCTTCATCCTCATCTAATTTATATTTAGAAAGATCTTCATCCTCATCCTCTTCTTCTCCCTCAGATTCTTTATCTTCATCTTCCTTTAAAACAGATGCAGGATCAACTGCCTTCCCTCTGTATTTTTTCTTCTTACGTCCAAACTCATCATATTCACCATCAGATTCTCTTTCTATGTATTCAACATTTTCTCCTTCATGAAAACCTCCACCATATCCTGTTCTTTCTTCCAGTTTAGCATACTTTGGAATATTACACATGTTACACTCTGATCTTCTGGCCCAGTTCACATTACTGCAAGTTTTGCACTGCCAGTCATTAGCACTAAATAAGCCTCAGCTCTTTTCTGCGAGTGTCTTTCCTATTTCAGCGCCCCCTGCTTTCATCATCTTAGCCTCAGTTGTTTTCTCTCAACCACATCTATTACAGCTAGTTCTTCTAGCAAAGTTTACTTTTCCACATCTGGGCCCAGAACTTCTATTTCTCTCTTCATGTTAATGTCCATGTTAATTTTTGTCCGGGCAAATCCAGTCACCGTCACTGATTCTGAGATCCCTGGTCGACATCTTGGACACCACCACCACACTTTCCTCACCTTTTTAGAGTTCAGTTTTGTCTTTTCTCGGGGAAAGCAGAGGACAGCGTGGTCAGCGTGCTCGGGAGTTAAGTCTCGGTGACAATGCCCTGGAGGAGATACTGCTTCCCGCCCCCCCACTTTCAGACACAAAACTCTGAGGCCCAGAGGGGTGAAATGCAGCAGAGGTGTCCCTGCAGCCAGCTGGCACGTCTCAGGACAGCAGCCACGGGCACTGGTACACGTGAGAACCAAGAGAAAGAGGATGTGGAGGCGGCGTCCTGGGCGCTGGGAACGACGCGGAAGACTCTCCCCCGCTACAGAGCTAGTGTGACAGCGAACCAGCTCTGAGACTACACTGAGCATGGAAATTTCACCTCCCACCTGGTGTGGCCTGGGAGGAAGAGGCTCTCTTATTCCTTGACCTGTTCAAAGTCCAATGCATTATTAATATTCGAAATTTTCTTTCCTATATTGCTGTATCTGGGATTCTAATATTAAGTTATCTGAAAAGATTTTCACTATGGTTTGATTTAATTCTTATTGTGTGATTTTACTCTTACTGGTGACTTTATGCCATGTAGAATAAGAATGTCCTGAAGTAAATATTCAATTAAATAAATAACTAGAACCTAACAGGAAAATAGGATTCACTTTTTTATCTATTATAATGTTATTCAGGAAAAACACCACATAATGAAGATGTTAGCTCCTGTTTTACAACCCTTGCAAGAACCATGTGTTCCTGTAAAAGCATCAGGAGCAAAAAGTCACAAATCTCCCAAGTGCCTGGGCCACTGCCTACATGGATTATGTGAAAGCCTAACAAATACGAGTTTTAAAAGGTGCAGCTTAAGCCAGTATCTTTCCATACCTATGAACTGTTCTCTATTAAGCTATCCATCTGTCTATCCATTTGTCTACATACCTGTTTATCTATCTATCTATATCACCTGCTCGGTTGCTAACATAAGACACTTAAGACTGTGAACAGGTAACTTTCCAGCCAGGTAGGTGTCTTTGGCCCCCTTGTTGAAAAGAATCAACTTGTCTTAACCTACAGTTGTAAAAGCAAAGGTTCAACAGAAGGTGGCTGAGAGCTGTGTGTAAACATGAAGTAGAAACGCCAGGCTCTGTGTGCCGCGGGCCCACGGGGTCTCGGTCCCGTCAGCATGGGCAGGGAAGGCAGCACAGCATTACCATTTACCACGTGGCCGCGAACACGTGGCCGCCTGTGGTCAAGGCCCAGACGCCTCCCTTCCCGGCTGCGTGCACTTAGCGGGTTCCTCAACCTCTTCTCCATTCTACTGTGAAACAAGGTGATGCTAATATCAACCCCGAGGACTGGATTAAGTGAGTCACGTAAGTACAGTGTTCAAACAGCACCTGGCACCTACCGGGCACTCAGTAACATGATTACTCCCTACGGGTCGTTTTCTCTCTGGTTCTTTAATAGCAACCAAATTAGTACAGACGACTGAGCACTTTTCTGATAAATAATCAAACTGTGCTCTCTCTCCCATGTTATTTTCCCCAAATGCCATCAGAAGCGATGGAGTAAGTCTTCAGAAACAGACTGCCACTCATCTTTTCTTCATAATTCACCTATAGCTTTGTAGCTCTATTCATCTTCCCACAGAGCTTTAAATGACAGAACTTCTAACATCCTCGAAGCTGATCAGCAGAGAATGTAACACAGTTTGAAAGCCGGTTTTAAAAAAAAAAAGAAAACTCTTTTATTCAAAGAAAAATTTCCTTGAGCTGAGCCACTTCACTCACCTCAAAGAGAAAAGCATATTTCTAAAACACGCTGGCCTAGTTTAGCAGACAGGAGGAAATAAAATAAAAGAATTTATCCAGTCTGAATCTATCATCAAAGGAAAAAGAAGAAATATTCTCTCTCTCCCATTTAAATTCATTTGCGATATATTTTTGTATCAAGGGGTATAAATAATGCATGATGGCATTTCAGAACCACAGACTCATGCTCCAGTGTGTTCTATTACCTTCCACTTGGGAGTCACAATGCAAGGGGTCCTGTAGTGAGCTCACAGGGCTGTCTGAGACGGAAAAGTGGGAAGGAACGGCCTCTCCCAGGGCTCTGATGTGTCTGAGTTCACTTCCTCCCTCCCGCCACCATTACCCTCCCAGTAGGAGCTCGGAGGCCTGGCCCTCAGCCACCGCAGTGTCCTCGGGAGAGGGTCTCACAGCCTGCAGTGAACTACAGTCCCTGAAATGGTCATCTTCTCTCTGCCCAAGGAAGCCAGCGCAGCACAGTGAGTCGACCAAGGCTGGTTTGCCTATTGGGAGGGAGAAACCAGCTTCCTTCCCAGGAAGGAAGGAAGAGAAATACTTACACGGTAGGAAAATCGTGATCTTTGTCTCCTGTAAACCCATGTGCCTTTATTTCCTATCTATTTAAAGAATATGCTAAACCTGGAGACATTTCAGCTCAACAATGTACCACCCTGCTTGTCCCTGGAAATAAAAATGGGTGAAAGTTCACTAATGCATTCTGTTGCTAGGTTCTACAAATCATGTTTTACGGCCCCTGTGTGTGTGTGTGTGTGTGTGCACGTGTAATAAGAACTGACAAAGAAAAATACAACACAGTGAAAACAAATTACTTTCTCATCTTTCCTCAAAAGTTAAGTAAAGGTTAGTGGGTTCTTCTTGGAGTATGTCCATGTCCTCAAGAAGTTATTAATCCAAGATGCTCAGACAATACTCTCACATAGCAGAGCAAGAAAAAGAGCAGGCAGAAGAGAAGGAACCAAAGAATGTATTCAATCCTTGCCTGAGATCCTGGTTTTGAAGAGAAAACTCTTCAGACTCTATAGATTTCTACTGGACCCAGGAAAGTCTTGTTTCATTTGTTAAAAAGAAAGTTTTGTTTCACTGTCAAAATGACTTGACTGACCTTGGCTAAGTTCTGCCAGGGCTAGACGGTATAAGGAAAACATCATTAAATATCACTATCAGTATCATATCAGAAAACAGTGATCCTCAGTAAACCTGCTGTGAAATCTTAAAACAGGACAAATACTCAAAACTGTTTAGGCCACACTTAAACACACACAACCACCCTGAGTAACTGCGCTAGGAGCAGGCACACTGCCAGGCCCTGGGGGAGGTCTGGAAGCTGCCTTAGACCTTAGAGGTGGACCCTGCAGGGCAGAGACGGGGAGAGGCCCTGAGCACAAGCTGTGTCCTAAAAGACACAGAGCTGAAAGTGTCACAGCAACATGCACCCTCTGAGAGTTTGCTACCATCTGGAGAGATCACTGCTATTGCAGAGATCACAGAAGTTCTTAAAAGAGATGCAGGCTTCCCAAATAGCTCAGTGGTAAAGAATCCACCTGCAATGCAGGAGATGCAGGTTCAATCCCTGGGTCGAGAAGATCCCCTGGAGAAAGGAATGGCTACCCACTCCAATATTCTTGCCTAGAGAATTCCATGGACAGAGAAGCATGGCTGGCTATAGTCCATGGGGTTGCAAAAGAGTCAAACATGTCTTAGCGACTAAACAGCAACAACATTTCAGATAAACCTTGAATTAAAAGTAGGATTTCAAAAGTCACAGATAGGGAACGGGAGAGCGGGAGTTCTGGGAGAAAGTGGTCTCTCCCAGCTGCACATGCATAACCTGCTTCTATTTAAACTCTCCCTGTCACCCACGGGATGCAGTAAAACCCCCTCCTTGATCTGCCCCTTCCTTGCCCTCTGGCTTCATCCCTATTGTGCCGATTTCTCATCGTTGGTGGGGAACTACCAGGAATTCCCTGAGTTTTGCTTCTGTTCTGCTTCCCTCCCTTAAGCTTTTATACACAGGATCCTCTTCCTGGAATGCCTTCTTCCCCACCCCTGACCTCTTAGCTCCCCACAAGCCCTGGTTCTCTCCAGTGTTCTTCCATCCTTCAACTCTGAAGGTGAGCTCAGTCCCCTCAGCAGAAAGGTCCTCATCATTCCAGAAGAGTTATCTCCAACCTTATCATGCCTGCAGCATCTTGACTGTATCTTCTGGTTAACTGTACACCTTGATTGTGCCAAGAAACCCTGGCTTTGCGGGAGTATAAAAATGAAATGGGTTTACATTTTCAAACCATTACCTTTAGCTGTACTCTGCCAAATCACTAGTCCCACTGCTTAGCCACAACAGCGGCCAGAACTTTTCAGGCATGTCCAGAGGTTAAAGTTAGTCCACTTCCTTCTAAGACCTTCTTCACTCATCTTCCTTCATTGTATGGCGGAATGAAGACCGTCTCCTAAGACTAGCCCCTGGGTGGGGTGTTGGCAGAGGATAGGGAGACAAGAGGTTTGTACTAAGAACCTCTGGTCCCTCCCTCTCTGTCTGACCTCTCTGATGTGGAGTGAGGGAAGTGGAGACCAAGACACACAGGATGGGAAGGTGATGCAGGACAGTCATGAAAGACCATTAG